TGACAGAAGTAAACGATCTCTCATTATAGACAAACTTTTGTTTTATTTTCGTAGTAATTCTCTTAATTAGTTCATTCGTGGACTCAAAACAAGTATTTCAGATATGATTTTAACTGCTATATAGGTTTTATACCCAGCTGACGAGTTTGGTATAGAACAAAATACTTCCTGGATAGTGACTTGTCTGACAGATGAAAGATAGGTCTGAATTCTGGTCTTATTTTTACACAAACGTAATTCATCATCCCTAATAGACTAATTAGAGGAATCTGAGAAAAATACATTTTTAGTCGAAGTGATTTTAATCTTTACGTTATATGTAAATTTTTGATTATTTGTTTTTACTTTTTTATGATTATCAGTTTAATGGCTTAAATCTGAAGACTATATATATCGAGGCAAAATGTTCGATACTTACAATGAGCTTCGTAACTGCTCTTGTTAGCACGATTCACCACATTGTCAGACTAGCCGATTTCCTTTATCTAATTGTTACATTATATCATTGGTAGCTTGGTATTCCAAGAATAAACTTTATCTTTGCAGCATGTAAGATTCTCGATCAATACTTGGAAGAATAGGTTAGTGATATTGTTACGTCTCCGTTTGTTAATTAACTTTCCGTAACTTCGTTCCGATGAAACTTTAGCGACACAAGTCCTTATTTGATTGTTGAAATTAAGTGTATCGTAAAGTTATATTCGGAAAGAATAAACCAGTTTTATTACGCTAAAACAAACGCTATAACAACGAACGTGCTCAATAATACTCTTTGACTGCAGATCAATTACTCACTGTCTACACACACATTATTGTCCCGTCATGTTGTCACCCTCTTTTATATACCAGACTACCCTATATCTAGTAAATGCTAGAGCATTCGCCAAGGTACAGGATAGTTCTAGAAACGTGGCGTGACACTAGTCATGTGACTTCGCTGAAGCAACAATATATATATATATAGAGAGAGAGAGAGAGCCTTTTACCAGCTCCAAGAGATTGATGAAATCAATTTTGTGAGAAAAGCAATGAAGATTTTATATTTGTTGGTGTGCTAATTATTGGTGAATAGAGCTTTATTTTTCTTGGACAAACAGGTTTGATGTTTTGTTGAGTATATTTGATTAAATGTCACTGGAAGTTTCAATGATTTTCATTTTTGCAGTTTTCCTAAGCTCAAATGAGAAAGAAACTGTAGTCTATTGTCTGCGGAACTAGAGCATTTAGCCTAGGCTACTTAGGCCCTTAGGGAAGTTAGGTTAAGCTTTGCAATACACCCTTTTTTCTAGAAGTCCTAGGCTATAACATGTAGGCCTAAGTCTAGAACAAAGTGCAATGCTAATTAAGTGATTGATGACATATGCCTTACAGTGTTACAGTAACAGCTAGGTCTAAGTTTGCACTAGTTATGACTTGGAAACTGGAGTCTAATTGTTGGTTGGCTAACCTGCACCAGGGAATGTAATTTGTAATATTATTAGGCCATAGACTATCAGTAAACTAACTTGAAATTTCTCATGCATTGCATTTCAGTTCCATTGGGCTACTACAGTATTCATCTTGCAGTAAAAGATTTGAATTATGCACATTAAGACATAAATTTTATCTCAGTTTAGTACAGTATAACGAGAGTTAAGCCTCTCCAGTAAGACGTGACATCGTAACCAAAAGTTAATGTTTGCTCATTCCAAATGGACCTAAAAAGGTGCCATGTGGGTGTGTGTCAGCTGTGGGCCAATCAAAAACAGTTACCCAGATGGCCAAACTTTTTCTCTATATAGCTTTGCTTAAACCAAGTAACTAACGTCTTGTAAATTTTCCACAACTTATTCTCCGTGAACTAGTTTGAAGAAAGCCATTAAAAATGGAATGTTAATATAGAATATTCTTGCTTCTAACTACCATTTTTATATGCAATTCCGAAATTACATAATACTCCTATCGTGTTCAGGTTTATTACCAATTCTTTAAATACAGTAACTCTATAGTACATAATAGTAATTTGGATATCTTATTTGAAAAAAATAAAATTACTGTCTACAAGTGATTCAAATCATTATTTTTGGACCTTCAAAAAACCATATTCTGGTTCTGCATTGCTTAAATCATTTAAACTTTTTACGAACAGTCAACTCTGTTATTACGTATGATTTCACTACTTTATATACAAAAGTAGATCTGAAAGATTTAATTAGGGTTCTTAAGGACCTATTTGATAAATTTATAGATGTAGAAATAATTATTTCACAACATAAATTCACCAAATATCAAAGTAAAAATATACTTACTTTTTGTACTTATAATAGTTATTGTCAGAGTTTTAAGTATATGTGGGCTAATGATTCTTCTACAGTAGTTGTCTGTGGCTTATTGGTGATATATTTAACAATAAGTGGACAGCAAACATTCCACTTGTTTTAAAATAATATATTCAAAACAAGTCAAACATATTGTAATGTCTCTGTCTGCAATTCAATTGTCTCCCGTCACTTCTCGCCAGTCTTATATATTATAAAACGCGAGTCTAGCAAGCGCTCGAGCCTTCAGGAACTTTCTAGATGCTTATTACGTTGTTACGTCTCCGTTGGTTAGTTAATTTTCCCTAAAAATTCTTTCCGATGAAACTTTAGCGACACAAGTGCTTTCTTAAATAAAACTGGTTTATTCTTTCTGAATACAACTTTGCGATACACTTAATTTCCACAGTCGCGCTATAACAAACGCTATTATTCACAACGAACGTCTCACGTGCTCGACTCAACTGTCAATTACTCATTACATTGCCTCGCCGTCAGTTCTTACCCTTTTATATATACAAGACTACCGCATATCTAGTAGGCTCTCAATATTTCAGGAAGGGACGTGAACGTTCCAGAAGATGACGTGTTACTAGCGTCACGTGACATCCGCTGTCTTAACACTGCCGCTTCATTGATATTGTTCATCCCGAACAATAGCCACTTACATTAAACCAATAAACAATAACTTAATTAAATGTACAGAATTTACAAACACAAAATTAAAATTCAACGAAACTTTAGCGACACAAGACCTTTCTTAAATAAAATTGGTTTATTCTTTCCGAATACAACTTAACGATACACTAACTTTCAACAGTCGCTCTATAACAAACGCTATAATTTTCAACGAACGTCTCGCGTGCCCAACGATATTCTCTCTGTCAGCATACATTCAATTACTCAT